CCCATCCCCATCCCCATCTCCCCATCCCCATCCCCTTCTTGCTTTTGACGGTGAAGCTTCGTCTCCAAGATCTTTTATTCTCCATCTCAAAGGCCCTGGTGAAGCTTTGTCCTCTCCCTCCTCTTCATCAAAGCACCACTGACATCGACACCGTTTCAGTCCCGATCAGGGTTTTGAGGGTGAGGGAGTCACAGTGGTGCGTTCCATTACGACTTGGAGTTTCTCAAGATATTAGTTGAACTGAGCAAGTTTTACATTAATTTTTTATCTCCAGTGGAGCCTTGGGCGTACTTCTATGCTTAATGTTGAAGGTTGCATCGATGAGATTCACATAGATTCTAATAATTTTGGCATTGAACCCATAAGTGCCTACAAATTATACCACATTTAAATTGGTCTTTTAACCATTTCTTTCCCGAGTTCACCCAAATGTCACTACTTTCGTAATATCTAGGCCGCAATATTAGCTAAGTTCTCAATATCAATCAAAAGACAAAAAACAAATCAAATTCAACCAATTTACCGTCTCAATTGCGGACTTGGCCGTCACTATTGCAAATTTGTGTTGAATTATATTTATTTTGTCTTTTGATTGATATTGTGGACCAGAATATTATGGAAGTGGTGACATTTAGATAAACTCAAAAAGAAATTGTTTAGGAGACTAATTTAAATGTGGAAAATAGTCATTTGAGTCAATTAATTTATGGGTGGAAGGATCCATTTAAAAATATTTATCTTAAACAGAAAATGAACAAGAACAAAATATTCTTGGGTTACACACTTTTAAAGCATAAGTTAGTGATAGTGATAGGGATGTAACTGGATGGAGTTATGTTAGAAAGTAGCAACCACAAAGACCAAAGAAAGAAAAAACGTTATTCCTAATTTATATTCTATCGAGCCAAAGCCCAAAATATATATTTAATATATGAGAATTTTGTTTTCCCAAAGAGACTACCAAACAATTAGCTTAACAGAAAATATTTTGATGACTTAAATATTTAATTTTATTTCTGAAAAAGTTGTTTTGCCAAAGAGACTAACGGGAAATACTGTTCCAAGATTATCTATCGTCTTCAACAGCTAATTACATGAACAAGGTCTCCCAAACTGGTATACGATGAACCTCCTGCTTCCACTGCCATTCGGCTCTTTCCTTTCATTTCTGCCACCTTTGCTCGAACCTCACTTTTGCTATCCATCACCTCCCTTATTCCCTTCTCAATCTCTTCACCCATCACCAATCTCTGATTCTTGTTTAACTGATTATAATCCAACGATATCTCCACTGCCAACCCCAATTCCTTCACCAATTGATGTGCATCTAACTGTTGCTCCGCGTATAATGGCCATGTCGCAATCGGAACTCCATACCAGATGCTCTCCAGTATGGAGTTCCACCCACAGTGAGATACGAACCCCCCGACTGCCACATGGCCCAGCACCGCCGTCTGCGGCACCCACCCAACCACTTTCCCCTTTCCGGCTGTACGATCCAGGAACCCATCTGGTAGGACTTCCTTGTAGTCTATGTACTCGCTTGGGAATCCTTTCCGGCCTTCCGGCGATGGTTCGCGCAGGGACCATATGAACCTGTATCCGCTTCTTTCTAAACCAATTGCTATTTGTTTCACTTGCTCCACATTGAAGCACCCCCTTGATCCAAAGCATAGAAGCAGGACCGACGACACTGGTTGACCATCCAACCATTGAAGTAGCTCGTTGTTTTGTGGAAGCGTTTCGGGTTTTAACATGGGACCGATCGTGTAGACGGGTGGTGTTTTATCGTCGTAGGAAAGGAGGGCATGGGGCTCTAATTCTCGAAACGTGTTTATGATTATACCCTTGGCTTCTCTGTATTTTCGGGTGTAGCGAAGAAACCTTTTGGACCATGAGTCCTTGTCGAAAAACACGAATGGCAAAACGCTTGGAGGAATCGGGTTTGCATAGCTCGGGATGGTTAACGGAGGTCCCGGCTCTGCCAATTCAGATATCTCCTGACCATGTTCGTCGTGTAGGGTCTGAAAATGAAACATGATCCCAAGAAAAGCTGCATTGGAGGTGAAGAAGGTGTAGGTAGGGATATCAAATTCATCGCCAACATCAATCATCGATGTACAGAACATGTCAACGATCAATGCACGGAGTCTAGGGCGAGCGGCCACAAGTTCCCTGACGATGGGCTTATGGTGCTCGATGACAGCATCGGCGAGGAAACCGGCACTTGGGCAATTTGGAAACGCATCAAGATCCACTTGAGGGAATTGGATGAATTTGAGCCGACTAGTTTCAGAAGAAGCTAGGGAGTTGGTGTAATTGGTGAGAAGGAGATCATTTGGGAGGTGCATTACAAGTACATTAATGGAAAGATGGTGAAATCGATCGGCCATGAGGGTGGCTAGCTGAACAAGGGAACCAGCATGTCCCATAAGTGGCGTTGGGATGAAAAAAACCTCTGATTTCTCCTTCGCCATAGCCACAGCCATAGCCATATCCGTATATGATGATAATATATATATATATATATATATATATATATATATATATATATATATATAATAAGTAAGACGGAATGTATGGAGGATGTGGTGCACGTTTTTGTAGTTGGGGGGTTAGTGTTAGTTTATATAAATGGAGAGAAAATGTGGAAAATGGAAAAGTTAGGAAAAAAATGAATTTGGATAATAATATTATTGAAAGCATATGGAAGGGTAAGACTAAGACAAAAGAAAGTGCAGAATATTAGGATTAATCCATAAAATATGATGTGTTCAAATATGGAGATAATGTGTTAAATATACTCTATATTTAGAATATATGTATTTTTCATAAAGAATATTAAAGTTAAATCAAATCTATACTATATTTTAAAGTATTTGATAAAAACTCTTAAAAATTATTTTTTTATACATGAAATATTGTATATTGATATATATTACATAAAATTCAAGATTACAAGTAATTGTGTATAAGTATAACTTATTAAAGCTTTATGTTTGAATTCGTGTAACTAACTGTAAATAAACATAATCAAATAGAGAATAAACATCTTATTTTAAAATATAAAATATCTAAAATATAATTAAGATAATTATCGAGTTCTAACAAAATAATTAATTATTATTGTAACAAGAAAATTATATTTGGTTTATATTATTAAACCAAATATAAATTACTTCGTTATTGAAACTAAATTAAATTATAATAAAAAAAGTAAATTAAAAATTATATAAAAAATAAAAAAATTTAAATAGTTAATTTGATACTAATATTAAAGTTTTGGAATTGACATCTAAAACTAACTATGAAACATTTATGATCAACACATACTCTAGACTGAGAGACATAATGGTCATTTTTATTTAGCCAATGATTAATATAAAAATACATGGTAAACAAGAATTTTCGGTCCGCCTATCACATTAAGACTTCTTACAATAGTCACACCTCTTGTCTTGATCAACACTTGCGCATAATTTTAGGTAAACATACCTTAAATTTTATTCGATAAATAAGTAACAGTGTTGAATTTTATTGATAAACATTTACCGGGTAAACATTTGGTAAAAGACCCCTTAAAGTATGATAAAAAATATATATAAGTTAAAAATAAAAATAAGTTATTTGATATAAAAAATGTATAATAGGTTGGAAACGAATTATAGATGACACTATTTTCGTGCCAAAAATAATGCAAACATTGGAGATGGCCTTTGGGCACAATTCTTTCTTGTCTCGTGTAGATAGTTCATCGACAAGGTTTGTTATGTGATTCTATCATTTATTTTTGGCATAAAACAAAACTTTGTGTTATTTGTATAAAATAATATTTTGTTTACAGTAAAATAAAAATTTATAAAACATAAAATACAACAAATAAAATTTAAAGAATAAATAAAATGTATAAAAAAAACTTATTTGATTTTTGGGAAAATAATTAAGTTTTATTTTAAGGTTATATTGATAATCAACCTTGTTTCATCTTGTTTCATGGGATAAGAATGGAACAGACTTGTTCTACTTTGTTATATTATATTTATGTTTGTTCCACATAAAAATCATGTCAAATATGAAATAAAAATCCATTATTTGTTCTATTCTTTTCCAATCATATGTATCAAACGTACTCTAAATAATTAATAGAAAGATTAGGAGGCCATTTGTCAAATACTTAAATAAAGTAATTAAAAATTATCAAGTCTTATCGTTAAATATTTAAAATAAAATTCCATAACTAATAAAGAAGACATGATGCAAAAGTATCTATACACGTGGCTCAATTTTCGACTGAGTTTGACACGTCAAGCAAGCTTCACGTGGTTTGGTTTTCAATTGAGGTTAGACACGTCACTCACAAATAAATAATTCTCGCCCACTTTTTTGACTTGATTCAAAGAGGGAAATATGAGTTTTTATGCCTCAAACATGACAAGATATCCTCCATGTCCATGGTACTCATTTTTGAAATACTATACTCGTACGCATTAATATACATCTTAATTTTAATATTTTATTTTATTTTTTATTTCAATTAATATTATAATATAATTATATGTAATTTTAAAAAAATATGATATTTTTGTTTTTCAATAAAATATAAATTTTAAAATATTATAAAATTTTGATAAATTTTTTTAATATTATATTTTTTAATAATATATTAACTTATTTAAATAATATAAAATTTTAAGACTTCTTAAAAAAAATTTAATAATATAAAAATACATACCTTAAATTTTATTCGATAAAATTTAAATAAGTTAATATTAAATAAAATATGTTATTTCAATGTGAAGTCCATAAAACTCAAATTTGGTTTAAAGTAAAGTTTAGAATTAAAATATGAAGATTTGAATGAAATTCGATAAATATTGGATTTAGAAATCCAATGAAAGTTGTGGTGTTTTATAGAATTTTATATGATTTGTTTATAATAATATTTGATTTGTAATAATTAATTAATAAAAGATAATTTAATTATTTTTATAATTATTTACAATTTGTTTTTAAAAAATATCTATAAATAATATGGTATAATTTGGTGTGGGTATTTGTATTTGTCACCGCTTTTGAACCTTCGTGGCTACAAGGGGATTTTTGTTTCTTCTTGGATTTGAACCTGAGACCTCCAAGCACTTTTGACCTTTGGAATCAAGCTCAAACAAATCAGACACCACCCTTGTGGTTACTTAAATTTACGTACTTCTTATTACGTAATTTGAAACCAAAAGTATAAAAACTATGATTGATAAATTTTTATAAAAAGTAAGATTTTTTTGGTTCATAATAAGAAATGTGTTATTTTGATACAAAAATAGAATTCGTGTGAATCAAGTAATCGTGAGAGTCAATGAGAGATCAATAATAAAGATGATTATCAAGATTTTCTAGACAAGTAGACAAATGAGGATCAATAAGAATATATGAAAGCAGAGATGATTCATTAAAATCTAATAAGAATAAATAATGAATTAAACATATAATATGCAAGCTCAACAAATGATTGTTTGAGTACTTAAATAGAATTTTATAGTGCGGTGGAATCCCAATGAAAGATATATAAGTCAAACAATTGATGAAAATATTAAATTTTTTTTTTTGTTCAACTAAAATAAGATGTTAAGATTAAAAGTTTATGGAACATAACATATATAAGAGACATTACTAAATACATTTAGTAGAAAAAAATTTATTGATAAAATCACAAAACTATGAAACACGTCATAAATTATAAGAATAATAGATTGTTTGTCAAACAATAGTAAAATATTTATGTAGAAACAAAAATAGATAACAATAATCAACAAAAACAATTAGAACAACATAACCAAATAACAATAGTCAATAGAAGCAGAAATTGATAAAAGTATCCAACAAAAATATATAGCAATAACAAGCACATGATCTTAATGTTGATTTGTTAATGCATGAAAACAATCAAGCATATAGGGATAACAATAACCAATATTATTGGACCTTGTTGAAGATAAAAAAAAATTAGAGAGACAATAAACAATAGCATATAATGAATGACCAATTAATTTTTTTTCTTCTCCAATATAATTAGTTGATATATTTTTGGGTCCTTATTATGTACTAATTTTTTTTGCTTCTTATTATTTGTTACAACTTTTTGGGTTTCTTTATTTAATTAAATTCTTTTAGACTACTATTGTATTTTTAAAAAAAATTGGGCCCCTGATATTATTGGGCCCTGGGCGTGTGCCCGTATCGCCCTCTCCCAGGGACGGCCCTCCCTTCCTTCCGGCCACCCTCTTTTATTCTTTGGCGACAGAGGTTGAACCTGCAACTCCAGTTCTCTCTCTATCTCAATCTCTCTCGTCTGCTTCCTTGCACCATCACCTTATTTCTCAAACGTTCATCACCTTCTTTTGTTCAACACAAATATTAACAATCTCCGTCTTAAGACCCACTATGAAATCGAAAATGTAAAAACACACACTTCTCCTATATTGAAGGAAAGATTGGCATTTTCTTAGGGTTTTTTTACTTCAATATTTATGTTTTATTTTATATTGAAGGGTGTATATGTTTGGTTAAAAGAAAATGAAATAATTCGCCAACAATATTTAATTGTTTTATTTTCATATTTGTAATTGTTACGATTTATTTTTATAAACCACGCAACTTGGTTAAGAGGACTATCACGATGTTGGCAGTTACATGAAATCGTCAACAAGTTGTCTCAGACTTGCAAATGATGAACCCCCTTCTTCCACTGCCATTCGACTCTTTGTTTTCATTTCTGCCACCTTTGCACGAACCTCACTTCTGCTATCCATCACCTCCCTTATTCCCTTCTCAATCTCTTCAGCTGACACCAATCTCTGATTCTTGTTAAATTGGTTATAATCCAACGAGATCTCCACTGCCAACCCCACTTCTTTCACCAATTGATGTGCATTCAACGATTGCTCGTTGTATATTGGCCATGTGGCAATTGGAACACCGTACCAGAGACTTTCCAATATGGAGTTCCACCCACAGTGGGACACGAACCCGCCTACTGCCACATGAGCCAGCACCGCGGTCTGCGGGAGCCACCCAACCACTTTACCCTTTCCGGATGTACGGTCCAGGAACCCATCCGGTAGGACTTCATTGTAGTCTGTGTGCTCCCCTGGGAACCCTTTTTGGTTCTCAGACGGAGGTCGGCGCAAGGACCATATGAACCTGTATCCGCTCCTTTCTATAGCAGTTGCTATTTCTTTCACTTGGTCCTGCAGCTCGAACCACCCCCTGGATCCAAAGCATAGAAGCAAAACCGATGAGTTTGGTTGACCATCCAACCACTGCAGTAGCTCATTGTTTGGAATAGGTTTTTCGGGTTTTAGCATCGGACCCACCGTGTAGACAGGAGGTGTTTTATCGTCGTAGGAATGGAGGGCATGAGGCTCTAACTCTAGAAACGTGTTTATGATTATGCCCTTGGCTTCTCTATATTTCCGGGCGTAACGACCAAACCTTTTTGACCAAGAATCCTTGTCCAGAAACACATAGGGCAAGACAGTAGGAGGAACTGGTTTAGCATAGCTCGGGATGATTAACGGAGTCTCAGCGTTTGCCAATTCAGATATCTCCTGACCTTGTTCATCTTCGAGTGTCTGAAAATAAAACATAATCCCAAGAACAGCTGCACTCGGAGGGAAGAATATGTAGGAAGGGACTCCAAATTCTTTGCCAACATCGATCATTGAGGTACAAAACATGTCAACGACCAATGCAGAGAGTCGATCGGACCTACTGAAGCACGAAGCAATAAGTTCCCTAACGATGGGCTTATGACGCTCGATGACAGCATCAGCCAGGACACCGGCATTTGGGTATTCTGGAAAAGAGTCAAGATCCATTGAAGGAAATTGGATGAATTTGATCTGATTGTGATCATTATCAGGTTCAGAAGAAGAAGCAATAAGGGAGTGTGTGTAATTGGTGCCAATGGGATCATTAGGGAGGTGCATGACAAGTACGTTAATGGTGAGATGATGGAACCGAGTGGCCATGAGGTTGGCCAGCTGAACAAGCTGACCAACATGTCCCATAAGTGGAGATGGGATGAAAAATAGCTCTACTACTCTCTCCTTATGGTTAGCCATGGTTATATTAATATATGATATGATAATATATGGGCTTATTTATAGATATAATGGCAATGGTCTTTCTCCTTGGTCTTGTTGTAGCTATCTGTAAACATGTGATCATGTTCCATACGTTTCGAGATGTTTATATTTTCTAAAATAATTTAGAATTAATTTAAAAGTTTGAGTTGTTCAATCAAAGTGTGATTAGTTACAAGTCGTCGTTTTGTGCCACTATCTTTAGCGTCTATCTCTAGGGGATGCCACTTGTTTCTAGGAAACTTTCTTTTATATATTTTCATATACATATTGCACCGATAATAAATCTAGAATTAAATAACCACTTTTAAATTTGAAAGAAATTATCAAGATGGGTTCTCTGGTAATCGTAAATCAAACCCCAAACACAAGTGAACTTTGAGTCTCAAAAATCAATATTTAACGTGTTAATAGATAACCCTAAAAGGTGGTAAGAGATAACGAGGTGGACGCATGAATTAAAAGAAAATGTGTGGTCACTACTCACCCCAAGTACAACTGCTCTTTTTCTCTTCTCTCTCTCTCTCCCTCTACAGCAATTAATATTATCTTTTTTTAGCTTGGCTCCAAAGATCAAAATTGTCAGGAGATCACATATTCAAATTCAAGAAGAAATAAAAATTCTCTTGTGGCCATGAAGGTTCAAATGCGATGACTCCGGGCTACCTGCAAATCAAGTGGTTACCCTGGGATTAATCGGCTCACAAAACGGGTTGGAAATCCAGGTTAATAAAAAAAAATTAACATTATCTTTTATTTATAGTCCGAATAATAATTGACAAATCTAGGTGATCCTGAAATAATAATTGAATTAGAAAAAATAGTTTTAATTAACTTCATATTTTTTTTATTAATGATATTTTAATGTTAATCAATTACAATCTAATTTTCGTAATTTAATGGTAATTTACAAATCATTGGGACTGCGTGAGAGAAGATAAATAAATCATTTAAGAGATAATTGTGAAGAAAAAATGTAAAATTAATTAAATATGATTTGCAAAAAAAAACATTGAAGAAAAAGATAAAAAAATGAAAAATGATAATCCGATCAAATAATATTAAACTTAATTATTTATTGTTGTTATAAATGTCATGAATTAAAAATAAAAGAGAGATATAAAAGAGTTTTATCGTAAATTTAAGAGGAAGAAAGCGGGGGTTAATTGAGAGATAATCAGTTAGGGGTCAATTACCAAACACTTATATGATAAATGTATATTGGTAAAATTCAACATTATCAACTACATAATGGACAAGATTTTAGTTCATAAAAAAGAATATGCAATAATTTGTCCTGAAAGCGCTTACCATGATAAAAGTCGTCGTCCTCACTTGTTATGTAAGATTGTTGATCCTTGTCTTGCTCTTACTGAATAAGATTATTAGACATTACCATATTTATTCGATAAACTAATATAACTTAGTAAGTGTTTATCTAATAAATATTTAGTAAATAATCCATAAATTAATTACTGTGAATTAATGAGGTGTCATATTTTAGTAGTATAGACTTTTTTCCACCGAAGTGGTACCCACCCGTACCATCTAAGTATTAAATGAAGGTTAAAGCATCACTATTCAGCTTTTTGGTGAGACATAACTATCCTTCTTTAGGGTGCGTTTGGTATGTAAACGACATGAGACGGGACGCAACAAAAAAAAAATAGTTTCATGTTTGGCATGCCATAGACAGAAAATGCATAGGACAAGATGAGACTATTTTTAAATTTCATGGGATAAAACTTGATAATTTTTGTTTCACCAAAAAAGGTGGAACAACATGGGACTAAATATAAAATGACTATGTTACCCTTTTATTTTGGACTTTTCTTCTTGTATTTCCTGAAGTTTTTTTGGTTGAATAATCAGTTATTCTTGTTAGTCAATGACGCTGCCAAAATGCCAATTCAATCTTCTTGAAATTGTAAAGGATTTTAACTTTGTGACTTAAATTGCTTAATTCTGATTTAACTTCTCAATAATTTCTTATTTAACTTTTGATTAAAAAAAAAATTCGGCATGTTGAAGCATGTTTGTACTTTTAGCTTTTGTTCGTTATTTGGATGATTATTATGGGTAGCCCAATGTAACAATTATTTAAAATAACATTGAACAACATTTAGGGATAATATGGTCATTTTAACAGTTTTGTCATGTTATGTCCTAGTCGTACCAAACATACGACAGACAATTAGTCTTGTCCCATCCCGTTCTGTCCCGTCTAGTCTGCGTACCAAACGCTACCTTATTGGTAAAGTGTACTATCTTCTATTATCTAAGTCAAAAGTTAATTAATAAATATTTTTTTATTAATTGTTTTTCAAAAATTTATGTTTTATAATTTTATTTTTCTAAAGTTATGTTTTAAAATAAATGTTGCAAACTAACTATTTCTATATTAATTCAAATAACTATAAAATTATTTTTAATTTTTATAACTGTATTGTTAACGTTTTAATTAATTAATAATGAACTATGTCTCATTTGTTCATTGTTCGCCAAAATATCATACTCCACAAATGTTGACTCGTTTGGACAACTATGCCTATATGGTTCCTGAATTGGTGGGTCGATATTGAAAATCCTTTTTCCAACTAGTCATCAACAAGTTCGAAATCGTAAAGAGAAAATGTTGAAATTGTTACTTGTGAATTAAAATACAAATTTCACTTCCTTTTTTATGGATTATTTTCTGAATTTTTAAAGTTGCAAAAGAATTAATGATATATTCTATGAAAATATAGATACAATAAAAATTAAGAATTTGCATATGAATTTTTAAAGTTTTTTTTTCTATTTTTATAAGGACAAACTATACGACTATATACATATGGTTAAAATTTGTAAAATTATAAAATAAATTACTATAAATTAATAATTATTATTATCCATTAATTAAAAAAATAAGAGAGAAAGGGAGGGGAGGGGAGGGGAGGGGGGGGGCATATAATTTAATGTTGTTAGTAGGAATTTATTTTGATTTTTTTTAATAAGTGGAGGCACAAATAACAATTTTTTTTTTTTACGGAGGAACTGAATTTTATATGCAAGGGAAAGTGGTATGCAATGAAAATGCAAACACGGTTTATGGAGGGATTTTTACAATTATTTACTCCATCTGAATAGTTTGGGATCGAATCCTTGTCAACCCATTGTCATATATAAATTAGAGTAAATTACATTTTTAGTCCCTATGGTTTATTAGAAACTGTGATTTTCATTCTTGTGGTTTAAAAATTACAGTTTTCATCCTTTTAGTTAGTAATTTATTGCTATTTTTGTCCCTAAACTAATTCTTACCTTTTTAAGTATAAGAGACCAAAATGGTAAAAAAAAAAAAAAAAATTTAAACCACAAAGACTGAAACAATAACAAATTATAAATCATAAGAACGAAAATAACAATGATATACAAATTATAGGAACGAAAACCAATTATCTATACCACAAGGACTAAAATCGTAATTTTTAACAATTTATAAACCATAAGACAAAACACATAATTTACTCTAAATTATATTATACGTGATAGAAATCCTTGTTTATTCTCACCGACCCATATAAATGTTAATAGGATAAAAATGAAAAAGTTAATAATACTAAAGAAATTAAATAAATAACTATAAATGTATAAAATATAAGTATTAAAAACAATTTCATAATATTTTATATATAATATTATAATTAAATCCAAAAATATTTAATATCTAAGTCATTTTAAATGTATTGACAAGAAGATTATATTGTTGTAATTTGTTACAAAATAAACATATTCTTTAACGTATTTTAGTTAATATATTCTAATATGATAATCAAGAAATGTGTAAAAAAAAAAAAGATGTAAAATAAATTTAAAAACTAATTATAAGAGAAGAAAATATAATTTAAAACTTAAACTTGATTAATGTTGACTTCATGAATTGGTGTGTTAGGCAGCCTATATGGTAGGATGGGGTAGTACTATAGGGTATGTTTAACAACCCCTAATTTAAAGATAAAAGTTAAATACAAATTTGGTCCATGTGGTTTACATAAATTAACAATTAAGGTCCTTGAAAAGAATTATTAACGAGAGACGTACCTATAGTTTTATTTTTATAGTAAATATGGTCCTTTCTCTAACTTCTTTAGTTAAGTTTCTACTAGTGAGGGGGTATTTTTATCATTAATTTTCAATCACATACATGATTCTTCAAACTACTTTTCGTTTTGTAACATATTTGATCCCTCAAACTAATTTACATTATTATAACATATTTGATCTCTCAAATTATTTTTTATTTTTATAACAGATTTGATCCCTTCCTCAATTTACAACTTTAGGATTTACCCCCTTCATTTTATCAATAAAATTTGACGGCACAAATACATATTTTCTAAATATAATTAACAAAATAATTAAATAAAATTTGAAATTTAGATTTTGCCATGAAATATTTTTTCTTTTTAAAAAAATTACTTCCATGAAATTCTTTGATTCATATAAAATATAATTTTTAATTATAATTATAAGTAATAAATATATAAAAATATTATAATTTAACACTAATTGGTTAAATACTATTAGTTTTTTAATTATAACCATTTTTTATGTATATAATAGTTTTAGTTATATTTTTATATGTTATGTGACTATAGTAAAAAAATTTATATCAATTATTTTATTATATTACTTAAACGTATACTTTTATGTCTTATTATTTAGTATATTATTGGCTATTTAGTTTTATAGTTTTTTTAAATTTTCAACTAATATTTTTATCAAAATTATGTTTTATTTTAGATAAAGGATTTCATTGAAATAATGTTTTTGAAAAGATCAAATATTTCATGGCGAAATCTAAGCTTTAAAATTTATTTAATTATATTTGTAGAAAAAATATATTTGTGCCGTTAAATTTTATTAATTAAATGGAGGGACCAAATCCCAAAAATAAAAGTTAAGAAAGAGACCAAATATGTTATAAAAATAAGTAG